AGAGAGAGAAACAGAGACATAGAGAGAAACAGAGACAGAGACAGAGACACAGAGACACAGAGACACAGAGAGAGAGAGAATAAAAAATATAGTAGTCTGTCTGTTCCAATGAGACCCCAGCTCCAAATACATGAAACTTTTGGTGGACATTTTAGATCTAAAATGTAACGATAATGTTTGAGTCTTTTCTATTGGACCAAATCTTCTGAATCAGATTGGGAAGATCACAAGCTGAGAGTCTCTACGTGATAGGTACTGTTTTCTTGGGAGGATATTTTCTTTCCTGGCAGGGACTCTAATAGTAGACCAAAGACTAAAAGAATTCTGGAAAACCAAAGTTACTGAACACTTTCCAGTAAATGATGTTCTCAGACATTTTATCTCATTTCCTCACCTCAAATACCCCTTTAAAAAGAATCTGTACCAAAGAAGCTTTCTGGGTCCTTCAGTGATACTTTAGTGGTGGATCCAACTTCTGTGATCCAAGCTGGACCTCTAGAGTCAAGTCTGATATCTTCTTTCTGAATGGATTTAGTTTTATAGTTTCCCAATGACTGCTCTCCATTGTATGGTTAATTTTGTTACATACAACCACTCAGTTTGTTATCAGTATAAATTCCATTATCTGAACATCATTTAGCCAGTCCAAGCTAAGGACGCTCAGTGAAGTATGAGTAGATTCAGCCAATCTCTTTATCATTCTCAGAATAAAAGTATTTGTATCACTTTTTTTTGCTACACAGAGACTCATATGTTACCTAAAATTACAGGTATATCTGTGACCCCTGCTATGTCTAGCCAAAGATGCATTAACTGATTTTTGTGTTTGTGCAGTGCTGTTTATTCTGTTACAGCCAATGTGTATTGCAGATCATTGGTTATCTCTTTGCTTTTTGGAGATGGTGTCTGTCTGAGTGATCTTCTGAATCTTTCAATTTAGCACACTCATAGATGCTCTGTTAATATTCAATGATTATTTTATCATCTAATGATTAAAATAATAGTTGGAAAAAAATCAAGAAATATTAATTTCATACAATTTTCTTTATTGAATACTTGTTTATAAAAAAGGTATAAAGCCCTATTCCCAAGTCCAAAGGGATTTCTAATTTAAACCTTGAGTTTTTGAATTAAACAATCTGGAATGATTCTGTTCATACCTGCAAAATGGTTTTATTGAAATGTTTGAGATAGAAAATATGTATTGCAAAAAACATACAAACATTTCGAGTACAAAATTAGTTGTAAAAATAATATAATTTACCAATAAACTCACATTGTACTAGATATGTGTAAGGCCTTTGGGTGTAAAATTATTTTGTTTGCCGGTTGTATACCTAACACTCATTTTTACAATTTAGCTTCCTATGGAGAGGTAACTGTGTATGCCTTTGGTTTATCCATTATGCACATCCATACATTTGCAATTCAGTTGTCTGATTGAGCTAATAGCACACTATTCTTAAATTTAAATTGTAATGAGCTTGGTGACAAGAATTTTCTTTGTTAGATTCCAAAATTAGTCAGAACTTTTAATGTCAAGATACAAAAGCCTGTAAGATGCTATATTTCCTTCAGCTCCTATTCTACAGGAAACTAACTTCACCATTTCCCTCATGCTTCTCATTCAGAAAAACAGATATTAAATATGGGTTCAGAATTGTTTGAAGGCTTGTTTCTTAGTGCTGATGTTTCATTTCTTGAAGTCGAGGCAGCGCTCATAATTTTCTTTCCAGGTGAGGTTGCTGACTGAGGGTTGTTGTCTGGCTTTTGGTTTTTCACTGAGAACGACCTTCTCTCGATCGCCTTCTAGATCCTGATTAGGAAAAATGGAGAATAGGCAGGTGAAATCTTGATGAAACTTCAGTGTCTAAGAGCATGGTATTTTGTGGATACCCATTAAGGATCATCATTTTTTGTTGTAATAAACTGTACTTTGATTATCTCCTCAGTTTATGGTGATAAAAAATCACGATCATGTTTTGACCAAACTGTATAAAATAATACTTTGGAATTTGGTGATTTTAATTATGTAGAAAATTTGGATTGTTTTGAGTGGTTAGGAGAAATTTCTGATAAAGCCTTCTATAAAAAACCATTTGCACAATTATCTTTTAATTTCAAGTCTCTATATATTGGATTGATTTGCCTATAATGCATTTATAAGTCTTGTAGTTTGTTTTGACTATTAGTGTATAATTGTAATTTACTCTTGGCTCTACAAACAAATCTTTGATCTTTTAATGTGATCTAACCTGAAGAAGAATTACAAATTATGTGAATATGAAGAAAATGATAGTAAACTTGTGATATATAGAGATATATAAATATATACATTGATATCAAATTGTATAAGCATTTATGTTAATCTTTTTTGTTATATGATTTCTAATTTACTTATCACTCAAATCGTAGCTTGGTCTCATATAATATTTTTTTATTTTTTTTATTTTTTGGTTTTTCTCTGGTACCGGGAACTGAACTCACGACCTTGTGCTTGCCAGGCAGGCACTTTGCCTCTGAGCTAAATCCCCAGCCCCTCATATAATATTTTTAAAGATTTAGTTCTGCCTGCACTTGGCTTGGGCATTCGAGTATTTCTTTTTTGACCTTACTTAAGTGTACCACAGTGGCTGAATGTGTCTTGTTGTTTATAAAGTTTATTTGCTTCTCCTTTTGTGCTACTTAGTTTATAATAGTGCTGCAGGACATTAAAATATTATTTTCAGATATTTATTACCAAACACTTTGCAGCAAATCTGGCTAACTTTTCTCTTTGAGAGAAAACAAAGTTCAATAAAGTACGTTAAGACATTCCACTTTGGTTTTTCAGACTGTTAAAAAAAATGTATACAGATACATTACTAAAGTCAAAACATTTACCTTGAACCCTTTTGTTGGCTTGTATCTTTCTCACAGGTGTGTCTAAAATTAAAGATGTGTAGTTAGAAATACTTGACAATTCTGAATAAAATTAGAGAAGAGACCCTAGTTAAACAGAAATGTATGAAGTTTTAAATAATCATGAAATAAATGACTTTTTAAACAATCATGACTTAAATGATATTTTTTAGAGTGGTAAATTTTAGGGTCTTTAAAATTTCAAACTGACATTGAAAAAATAGTTGTTATCTGTATAAGATCATCTAATTTCACTAACTGCAAAATCCATTGTATCATTGTGGATTTTGGAGCCCCACATTATGTGCCATTTTTGCACCAAGAAAATGTCTAACATAATTTTGTTAATGTTTTAGTGAAGAGAGTTACACCACAATGCAAGGATGTACACAGTTTACAAAAATCTTCCCAGAAATAGCTGCCTATCTTTGCTTTCATTCTCATTTGTAATTCATGCCTCTGTGAAATTCTCATTTTAGATCAGTTTCTGATTGTTTTATCATGAATGATAACAAAATAACATAGACCTAATAACTCTAGAAATGTAATAATAAGCAATTCAGGAAACATGCCAACATTCCTCCCGCAATTCATTGCTGACTCTATGAAACTTTTAAAATATTAACTTGTTAAATAATAAAACTAACATGTAAGAACTACAACAATTTTTAACTATGCAGTTTTGAGTTCTTAGAGTTGCAAAATATTCCTCAATTCTATATTTCCTTTCCTTAGTTGACAAGTGACTTTATTTTTGCTTACCTTGACGTTATCTTGAAACTTTGACTTCTTATTTTTTATATGTCAACCATAACCATCAATGAAATCTGTATTTTTCTATTATAGCTTTTTTAAATTTCTGAAATCTCATAAAATATAAGCTAATTTGTTATTTTGCTATAATACTAGAATAAGAAGTGTTAAGACAACAGCTTAGAAGAAAACTCTGTTTAAAAAGCAGAAATCACATTTGTTCCCCGTGGTTCTCTGCTATCTTAAAATGAGAGGGTGGAATGAAATGATTTTCAGAGATGTATAATGTGAGAGGGTAGAACAATCATTCATTTAACACATATGCCTCTTTTCTATCATGTGTCCTAAAATACGTAAAATATTTCAGTCTGATTGTTGCAAATTTTTTTTAGTTTTGCCTTTGTTTTGCAATATTCCATAGTGATGATTTTGGAAATTTGAAGTAGGGTGCAAAATATTATCTTACTGACCATGCAAATGTTAATTGACATTCATAGTGGGAGTAACATTAGCTGACAGTTTGCAATACTCAGCATAAAATATTATTGTAAGTGGATTCTATATGTGAACTCATATAAATGTAGGTAACATTGCTGTTGGGGCTATATTTTATACAGAAATCACAAATCTTTGCACATTACACTGACTCATTTGCCAATCTTGATTTGTGTGAGGGGGTGCTGTTCCTTTCTCTATAGACTGACATCTTGCTTTAATTTCTTGAGCAGTTTCAGCACAGTCTATAGTTTGACCTACAATAAACATGAGAAATTCTGTGCATCTTATGAGAGTGTTTTTTCAGTTCAGGGTGTTAAAGTATTTCAGCAACAAGTCACAGAACAAGTACAAAAAGAGAATTAACTCTACCAACAATCCTGAGTTAACTGGCTGGGGAGCACATTCAATTCATCAGAATGTGTTATATACTCCACAGCATTCACACTATGTACAGGTCAGATAAAAAGCACTAGGTTTTGAAATGGAGACAATGGTTCCTACATGAATGAATTAGCTGGATTCTGAAGTAAAAAGCCAGTCTGGCATGATGTAATTTTTATTCACATTGCTCTTTTTTTGTAAATAAGTATCTTTTAGTACTAGTGAAGGGGATAATTTTGACTTAATGCTGACCTGATGATTTTAGATGGCTAGAAAAAGAAAAACAGCACATCTAATTAATGTCCAGTTACTAACAACTATACTGTACATAATGAGACAAAAAACCTTATAAATATTTTGATAAAACTTAGGATATGTCATTGCAGAACAGGAAGCTTTACAGAGCTGGCAAGAGTTCACATACTGAGAAATGAAAGAATCACCTCTGAAATGAACAGAAACAAGAGAGAAGAAAGAGTCCAGTAACTAAAAGTAGAACATAATTGCCTTGACTTGTAGCAGGTGTATCTTCCTGTGGCTGAGTCCTTTCCTTAATATTTAGTTGAGCTGTTTATCAAGGACTTATTACAGAGTTTATTGAAGGAGGGAAAAACATACTTACCCGAAGTTTTAGCCTAAATGAAGGAAAGCATTATAAACAGTGAAAGCTACTGATTAATTCATTCTCTAAAAAGCACTGCCATTCTACAAAGCTGATTACTAGGCAGGGACGAAGAGAAAAAACAAAGAATTCAGTTGAAACTTCATAATGTGTTTGCTTTTTCCTTCAAATCTCTGTATATTTTCAGAGCAAAGAGTTATGTATTTGGGAGTAGTTGAGTTAATTTTGTATTAGATTTCACAGAAATTTTTGGTTTCCTTGTAGTTTAGGATACATTATATATTGTTTGTGTTCTGAAAGCAATCATAGTTTTCAGATCAGAATTTCAATTAATTTGAAAAATATTTTAATATCAAAGGTATGAAAACATGAGGTGAGGGATTTTTATATTGTTAAACAACAATCAGAAAATAATTGTCATAAATATATAAAACCTCAGACAATTTATGTATTTGGGCATAGCCATATAAATTTTAGAATTACAAGCAGAAACGTTATTTGTACTTTAAGCTGGATAAATATCAAACTTCAGTTATACATCTCAATTCATAGTGTATTACAGAGGATATTTTAAAATATTGGAAATATTTGTCTAAAATAATTTTTAGTCTAACATTTTTGTTGTGAGTCAAATGAAACAGGAAATTCATTTATTCAGATACCAATGATCAAAATTGTATTTTTATTAGCATTTACGATTTGAGTGATTACCGTTTCGAGTTTGTGTAGTCTTTTGAATTCTTTGTTTTTTCTCTTTTGATTTGAGGGTAGGTTCATTTAATGTAGTAGATGGAGAAAATTCCATATTTTAAGGATTAGTTTTGTGTATAAATAATCTACATTTTTAGGTATAGATTATCTCAAACAAAAGAAACATACTCATTCACAAGAATATAGTTTTGGGAAAGAAAGTTGCTAAACGCACTGTTTTTTGCTATATTTATGCTCTTAAAAATCATGCCTTTTATAGCTGTCATGGGGGCAGTGAATAAGTTTTTGAAAACATAAAAAGCATGTCAAATTTAGGCTTAATAGCTAGTAATTTAAAAATTAGTCCTTTTTCACATACTCAAAATATCCCCACAGTTATCTGTATTAGGACAAAAAATATTCATTGCCCCAAGCTTTATACCACAGAACTTTTTAAAGACCGTATAAATGAGTGATAATTTCTTTATAGTTATTATTTCAGCAAATCACTTGACTTGATAAGACAAGAGTTAATGTTAGCTTTTTTTCACCTGATTTAAAGAAAAACCCACACAGTCAGTCTTTAAAAAGCTGAAGAATTTAACCAGAACCTGTTAAGGGGGTTAGTTATTGCTCTTTTACTAACCTCCCTGAAGCAGTCGTTTAATTTCTTCATCTTCAAATAAATGACCATCACCACCTTCAATGAATTTGGTGACCTTGCTGACCTCTGAGAGGATACATTTTTATAGCAGAAATTGGTTTATATTAAAACACGTTGGGAGATTTGATGTGATCACTAATGGCAACTTCCCAATAAGAATTCTGGGTCAACTCTCTGAGGTATATATATTTATTTTGTACAGGGAATCAAACTCCATACTTTGCCCTTGTCTTGCAGGTGCTGTGCCCGCTGAGCTATATTCTTGGCCTCTTTTTATTTTATTTATTTATTCATTTATTTTAACCATGGGTGCTCTGCCATTGAGTTATACAGCTCCAACTCCTTAAGGTCTTGCTAAATTGCTTGATTTATAGTGGGACTTGTACTCACAATCTTCTTGTATCAGCCTCTGCTGAGTTTTGTTATGAGAATTTGCTGATACAACTGTTAAGCAATATTTAACAAACAATCGATATGACTATCATTTATTCTTCCTTCCGTATTTCTGGACTTTTTCCTTAAAATATGGTATGGAATTTAACCATGGAATGAGAACTTGACAATGATGGAGCTCATGTTTAAGGCTTTAGAGATGATTTGGGATGTGGGTAGAGATAGATTAAAGTCACATGTTTTTCTAGGTATGCTGACCTTTTTCCAGCAATTTTTTCAGAGTTTCTTCCGTTTCTCCACCTCCAGCAGAAACCCTAGTATATTTTATTTCGGGACCTAACGGAAAGACAATTTTTTAAAAAGGGAGTAAACAGGGATAGGTAAACTTCTTTTGTAAATGGCCAGAAAGCAAGTACTTTAGACTTTGTCGGCCACATAGCCTGTTTTGCATCTGTTCAGATCTTTCAGTGTAGCGGGGAAGCAGACACAGACATTACATAAATGAATAGACATGGCTGTGTTTCAATGAAATCTCTTTTCAGAAACATGTGGCACAAGACATATTTGCTGACTACTTAAACAAATGTGTAGAGTATAATTGAACTTAGAATTTTAGGTTGATTCATACCTGAGAGATTGCTACAAAGGTTTACTAAAATTCTTGGTGAATTGTTTTTACATATATTTATATACATTTTGGTATATAGATGTATGGATCTTAACATTTATAGAAAATCAAAAGAGGAAATTGCTTTTGGTACTCAATAACTCATTAATAAATCTTAAATAAAAATAGCATATAAGAGAGCATTTATGCATATGTCATACACTTAATAAAACACATGCTTCTAAACTTTTTAGAAATTTCCAATTGAATAATAAGTGGTTTATATATGATATTACTTTTTCAAGGAAAAAAATAACTTAGTAACTACCATGGAAGTGACTTCATTAGATTCTCTAATGATCCTTACAAATATTTTTTAATATTAACTACTATATTATATTTATTCTGTGGGCATAGTTCCATGTGTGAAACTAAATATCACCTGTAATAATTCGTTCTTCCCGTGTTTCTTTTTCAGTTATTTCCACAGGCACTCCATTAATGATTTTGGTGTACTTTTTAACAATTGGATCTGAAAGTTGGTGAAGAAAAATGCATTTGATTTATCTTTATATATTTTCTATACATCTCTGAGCGAGGCATTTTAATGATGGGCTATATTCCTTGAAACATTAGTATTTAAGGTTTAATCAGGATCACTACTGGAACATATCTCAAATAAATTCAAGTCTGAAGATAGCAGTTGTATCTCAAACCTTTGGTTAAGAAGAGGACCAGCTGGGAAGCTGACTCTCCATCACTGGAAGGGCCACCCTATAAAAAACCTTAGTAGTGGGTTATTAGTACAGTCTTTATATTAGTTATTTTTTCCTTTTATTTCTAAGTTCAGCACTACCAGTCTCATGATCATTCTATTTTATAGTCATACATATGGAGAAGCAATGGCAATTTCATTGGGCCTTGAGGATTACATGAATTCTGACAGTATCCATTCATAAATAAATTATATTTTCTTTCTGACTGGCTACTAAAAAAACCTGTAGCTTAAAAAAATGATTGTACCAATTTATACAAGACAAACACCGAGGGGAAACTTTAGATGTCCAATATTTCTGAACAAGCACTATTTCAAAATAATCATGTGATGCTACCCAGGCACTAGTAAAACGTTACATACCTCCATGGATGACTTCTGTTCTTATTTCACCTTCTTTAATCAGTTTGAATTCAGGTTCACCTTCAATTTGGATCTTTGAAAATGTGGGTCCTATAACATTAGTTTAGGAGACAAATTATGTTCAAGTAGCCTTTTAAGTGTATCAGGATAGGAAGTTTATTCCAACATTTGGTGCTACTCAAAGTGTTTCAGGTTTTGTAAAATCAGTTCTAAATGTATTCCATTATCTTTAGGTTAGGGACTATTTATGAAAACAAAATAAACATTAATTGATATACTACTACAATCACTTTCGTCTGCTTTAGCATTTAAAGTAATGTATACATCTACTCATTTATTAGTCAGTTTGAACGCACAAAGTTGTATGAGACAATACTTTATGAATCATACAAATTTATAATTTTGAGTTTCTCAGTTGATAGCCAGTTTATATTTTACTTCATGGAACAGTTATCATCCATTACTCTTTATTAAAAAATTTTACTTTAAGTGTTTTAGTCACTCAAGACTGTACATTTACAAAAATCTCATATACTTACCTCAGGTTTTATGGGAAAATGTATTTGAGTACCTACCTTTCATACAAGAATGATAAAAAAATAACTGATTAATAGTTAAATAGTTCTTCAAATGCAAGTTGAACAAGTGCTGCATTTGACTTACAAAATGATTTTTGCTCCCAGAGAAAAATCATTTTGAATGTTAGAAAGCTTACTACAGTAGTTATTCAAAATTATTTTATAGAGGCATAAGAAAAATCAAGTTCAGTACATTTAACTCATACTGTAATATCCTTAAAGACTTGAATGCAGTTATATTTATATATCTTTGAGGCAATTTATTTACTTCTGAAGAAATCATCAACACACACCATTACCCAGGATTAAATAGAATAATCTGAAGGAATGAAAACAAGGATGTAATTTGTTCAAACCATAAAGAGTTCAGACCATAACTTTTTTTTTATCTACCGGGCCAGTGGATATTGAATATAAAATAGAAGATCAAGTTTTTAAGATATATTCAGTTCAAAAAGAAAGAATGTGTAAGGAGTTTAAGAAAGTCAGTTAACATAACATCTAAATTGATTTTTCTTTAAAAATTTCAGAAATATCTTCTGTACTTAAGCTGTCTGAAGGTAGTGATTTTACTAAGCAATTTTTAAAATATATTTACAGCATCTAGGAGAATATCCCCGCAATGAACATTTAATAGCTATGTGCTCAATTTAATTTCCACTGACTTGTTGTTAACTTTAAAATTTGGTTAGATACTTCTTTAAGAAATTTTAAAATTATGTTCTTCACACTAAAGTATTTAGCAAGAGCTCAAAAGTATCAGTGAGACACAAAAAAATTCAAATAAGAAGAAAGAAATGCCAGTACCAATCTTAGAGGCCTTAAAATTGTAAAGGTTGGCAGGAAGAGTATTTGTTCTTTTGTTATGCTACTTAGAAGTAAAATGTCTGAATCTTTGAAATTAGGAATAGGTGACATGACCCTTTTTTATTCATGTACTCTCTGAAGGAAGAATCCAGGTAGAAATTTATTTTCTTAGTTCTCTTAATTGAAGAAATAAAAACAGTATAGAACTCAGATGATGGAGATTGAGAAGAAAAATGAGTTGAATGAATAAACCTGAATGAAGAAAGAGGAGTCTTTGAAAATAAGAACAATGACAAATGTGAGTGATTTGTGTTATGGAAGCTATATGTAAGTTATAATAAAATTCTAGAGAATCTGATTTTTAAAAGCAACGATATTATCAAGAATCATTCACTCATTTTTCAGTGAAATTATTAAGAAATATTTTCAACAGGAATTGCTTCATTTAATTTCTTTTCAAAACTATAAACTCTCTTCATCAACATTTAAAAACAATGAAATGGCCATATATCTAATATTCAAAAAATGTAAGGACATATTTCAAACTTTACTCCAATCTTATGTGTCAAGAATGAATAATACTACAGATAATGAATTAGCTAGGAAATCAACTTTACCTGTGTTTTGTGACTAAATTTTAAATCACTTTAAAAGGAAAAGACACATGTACTCAAGAAATTGCTATCTCAAACTACAGAATGAAAAGATGTAATCAAATAAAAAAGTTACAGTAATAATTTCCTGAGATGCAAGTCAAGACGTAATCTCTTCCTTGTTTTGAAATGCTGTTTCTGTCTTTCCTCAATAGTAAAGGAGATAACAAGATCTGTTCTTTGTGGAAAGGGTTAAAGATACCTAGACATAGACATAGAAATGAAAATTTCCTAATTTATTTCTTTGAAATAATTAAAATACACTACATAAAGGTAATATCAGAGATGTTAAGTTAGCTGACCTAGATAGGAATAGCAGAGAGAATGACTGTATTTATTTAAAACCTCACAAGATACATATACATATATATATATATATATATAAGGGTCAAGGCTGGATCTCTTCATCTATTTCTTATAATATTAAAATACATCATGTGTGGTTGTAATTTTAAAAGCTTTCATCAGTGTCTACCTTCTATGTTCTCTGAGAATGCTGAATAAAAAATGCCTGCCTATTGTGGACAAATTTCTTGTAATGGTACACAAGAGATCATGTGAGGAGGTTGGAAACAAAGCTACAAAACAAATACAAGCTCTAACAGAGTTTAGCTACAGTAAAAATACTCAACATCCTTTTGTGTAGTGAGTATCTGGGTATTAGTGCTAAGGCAATGCCAATTAATTTCAAAGTTGAGTTAAATATAAGTAAATGTACTGAAAGTATTAGGAATGCACCATCTATTTTGCTAAATGAAGTTCACTCCACCTTTCGCAACCTTGTGAGCATGCTGTGTTAGTTTCAAAAAGAATGTGGAGACATTCATAGAAATGAGTATATTTTATGAATGTTTTTTCATAATAAAAGGAACCACGTATAGCATCGATTTTTTTTTACCTTCAGTTTTGATCATAGGCTGTAGACTGCCTTGAATCACTTTAATTTTTGGTTCCACAACTTTGGTTATTATTTTAGTTGCTGAAAGTATAAAAGTGGGATATGAATGATATTTACATAAAAACAACCTGAACAAACTTGTCCTTCTTTGTTTTTGATCATTGTAGGGTGCCGAGTTATCAGATGTGGCAATAGTTCAGGCATTTAAATACAGGAAGTGATCATGGTGCATAATTAATGTCTTCTCTTGTCCAGATGTTGAACTCTGAAGTCCAATGTCTTGGATTTTTCCAGTAAATAAACACTCACTAAATGAGAAATTCTATCTAGAGATCTATCATTTTGAACTGTACCACTAACGCTCTTTACCTTCTTTTGTACTTCTTGAAAATATTGGCTGTATATCAACAGAAGACAAATAAACATGATTAATTTCATGTAATTCATGTTTTAAAGTACATTAGTTGGGTTCTTTCTAAATTAAAAGAAAGATATTGAAATAAAGACTCAAGTTGTTTTTCATGCATTGATAAAGTCATGTAGAAAGGAAAATATAAGAAATAGTTCAGAAAACATAAAGAATATTTTTCAGCCAGCCAATCATGAGCTCTATGCAACAAGTATGATATGGTCAGCCTTTAAACTGAGCCTAAAATGTCTTTAATTTTCATCTTCCAGGTGGCCATTCTTAAATTTAAAATATATATTCTAAATGTATGTCATTTACCCAAGAGAGATAATAATGTGCAAATTTTTTCTAAATAGCAGTCCAATACTTGGGTGACTTTGGTTAGATGGGTTATCTGGAAATGTGCCTCTGGAGTCATGCAACCAGAGCTACTTCTCTTTTCTCATTTCTTAGTAGAAACCTTAAAAGACAGTCCCAAATAGATAATGGCCTAATGCAATTAACTGCAATCGTGAGATAGTTTTTGTTACATCATTTTTTTTTTTTTTTCTTTTTGGTTTTTCTCCGGTACCGGGAACCGAACTCACGACCTAGCTCTTGCCAGGCAGGCTTTTTTGCCGCTGAGCTAAATCCCCAGGCCCTCGTGAGATAGTTTTTGATACCTTGGAGTTGAGATGCTAGCACATCTTGAGTTCCAGTCCATTCTCATCTCCTGTCTGAGGTATTTCCCTTTGTTAACCTTTTGAATCAGTGTAGATTCTAGCCCTTAATACTATGTTTCAATCGATCTTAAAATAAATATTAAATTATAAATTATTAATTATAAATATAAATTATAAATATCTCAAGTTATGAAACTTGAACATATCATCAAGTCTGTGTGTCCAGTTATAGCATGGATTCCACAAGTGGTCTTGCCAGAGGGAGCTTCCCATGAAGATCAAGTGCACAGATATTGCTGCTGTCACTGTGAAAGTGGATTAATTACTTCTGCCTACTTTTCGTTTTACATTACATTAAGTAAGTTTAGGATGTTTAATTGGTCAGTAGCTTTTTCTCGACCTTGCTTTTTCTGAAAAGTTAAGCAGTTTTGACTGCTCAGTCTAAGGACTGAGCCTCTCTAGGTTTCAAACGTTCAGTATGTGACAGCTTATGACAAAACTATCCCCTTTTAAAAATGTATGATATTTGGGAGATAAGAATAATAAGCAGCAAAGAAATTAAAGAAATTTTAAAGACAAGTTAAGTCAATGAATATAAAAATAAAATCTTTGATTTAGTTAGTCTCTACCTCTGAAATGCCTCTGAATAGCAGCATACCCATTCTGACAGGCATAAAAAAATTATCTAACATTGAAGTGTAAATCTCAGAGCTTTTTTTAGAAATTTCTAATCTATTGGCAAGTCATTGGACCTGTCAACTTATATGAAATATGGCTCACACTCAGTGAGTAAAAATACAATTTAGTAAGAATAATAAAAGAGTTATAGTAATATTTTGGCTTATAAGTAAAACGTATTGACATATATGGATACTGGTGGAAGGGACATAGATAAAGAAGGAGAGGTAAGTGTGATAGAGACCTATATCTTTGGTGGAGAAAGATAACATACCATGTCTGGTGAATAGAGCCCACAGGATTTTTTAAATTAGTTGTAAAATATATTTTTTAACATAATTGAATATTTTTAGGCTGGAGTTTATATTATGCTAAATCATTATTCCAATGAAATCTTAAAACTGTGCTGAGCTGAGCTGAAAATGAAATTGGCTATGATTTCACATAATTTGAATCAGTCACAGCAGCAGACATTTTGTTTTGCTCTTTACATTGACTTTAGTCCTTTTCTGTATCTCATGTAAATCTTAAGAAAAATGCTTGCAATCAAACTCCTGGATTTTTATGGTATGAAATAGAATACATTTTTTAACCAGAATAAGTGAGGGGATTAAAGTAATGTTTTAGCTACTGTTGTATTTTTATTGTTTAGTTGTAGAGTCAAAACAAAATGAAAAAGAATTTCTGCTTTGAAAACCACATCAAAAGAAAGAAAAAGGAAGAAAAACCCACAATGAAAAAGGTATTCTATAAATGACATTTACAAGAATGAAATACCCTTTAAGACTGTAAAGCAAGAGAGTTGCAATTTTGATAATCTGGTAATGCAAGGAATAAAAGAACTTTTGATTCCAGAGACCTTAGGCAGATACTGCGTTGGTTTGTCCAATTTCAAAAAGGGAGAGTTTTGAAACACTATTTCAACAAAAAGAACAGGACTCATGAGACGTGCTTGCTCCTGCCTGTAGAGTGCTGAGGGGCTCTAGGTAGGATGAGAGAAAAGTGGTTTGGCAACGCTGTTCATGTCGACCTATTTGTATTTTCAGACAGCTCGGATGCCTTTCAGAATCTATTCCCTTTGTGTGTCCTTTTTTTTTTTTTTTTCTTTTTGGCTTTTTGACACATTAGTATTTTATTTTACTATCTTCTTCATATTATAGCACTCCTGTTTTTCCTGAGTGGGAAAATGTCTTATTGGAATTAAGGAGAATGAATGGTCAATCCTCAGAGGTCTCTCCTGTGTTTCAAGCCTTGATTCAGGAAGAATGAGATTTGCCATTGTTTGTAGCTGTAAATACCAGATTATCAATAGTCTTTGTAAATACAAAGAAAGTGTTTTCTTTTGTCATCTTCCCACTTATATGTAACCAACACTCATCATGTACTTACTGTAAACAGTCATGGGGATTTCTTTGAAGGTGCTACCACGAACGAACTGAAAATAAATGTCTATATTTAGTAACATGACATGTGGTGCTGTACTAGTAAAACTACAACATCAAGGTAATTCTTACTAAAATAAAAATAGTAAAGCTATTATTAAAATTAGGAGAAATTAATGCCTTATAAAATATCACATTATAGTTGCTTTGTATCAGGCTGGATGGCACAAAAATCATTTGTTATTCCAAGTTTTAAATGGTAGAAAAATGAAAGTAAAATGCATTTACTATTATTTTATGTTTCTACTAATTGAGTCCTGTAAGTATGAAGAAACAAAGCATTTTTTGCCTTTAACAATTAATTAAGGACTGTTTTTATAAGTAAATTTTCTATCTTTCCATTTTATTTATTGGCAAGGTGTTTGATAATATAACAATTTTAGTTATGTATATATATATATATATGATGCATCTTTAAAATTGGATGGTGGGCTTTTTGAATAAAGACAACCTCGGATTTAAGTTAATATTTTCCAAAACATTTAGTTTGCTATTTGGTAGTTTTGAATAAACATTTGCTGATCAAAACCATGAAGAGATTTTCATTTCATCACAGGGCCAGTGGTGCACAATTAACAAAGCAATCAAAGGCCAGGGTATATTTACATATTAATGCATACATTTCTAGCAGCTTGTGTTAAACCTGCAATGTGTGCTAAAGAGATTAGATATAAAATCTGTACCTTAATTTGGATGTATTTGATCAGTTTATTAAGTATTTCCAGAAGCTGATCATTTCCCACGGGTATGTCTATGAAGAGGAATAGTAAATGAATATTAGAAAGAAAATGTGAAATAAAAATGTAGGTTCATAATAAAAAAAGAAAAACATGTCCATCAACAAGTTCAATAATTACTAACCTGCTGGGTAGAGGAGTTTATCTACAACGTGAATGACACCATTTGTTGTCATAATGTCAGAGTCTTTGGATTTCAATTCATTAACCAGAAGTGTATCATTTACCTATGAAAATAGAAAGTGATATTAGCAAGAAATTTGATGAAGGATGGACATGAAGACAATTCAATGATGGACAAACACTTTCATATGCTCATTCTAGATAACTTACTCCTTTCACATAGATCTTGCTTCCTTGTGAGGTCTTTAAAATATTAGTAACACCAGGCTCAAATCCTTTTCCAATGAAAACTCCTGGGGTCAAGTGATACAGGATGATGTTTTGAAGAGCATTCTTGTCCCCTAGAAGGCAAGAATATATATTGAATATGTCACACTTTCTGACATTTTGATAGGATGGAGATTGAGAAGAGAGTTCTTCCACACTGCATTTTCTCCTAAAACCATGGTTCTCTCCAGTTGGTGTCAAAGTTATGTTAAAACATTTGGTCATTTCAGTCAAAATACTGCCCAACCTACTTGAAGAAAAAAATGAAACTAGTTTCAAAATCACAACCATTTCCTACTTGGCCACATAATTGTGTGTTTTAGTAGACAAAACCATGGGAGAAAGCAGTTTAAGAACTTTAATGAAATGACCTTCCGCACATCCCACGTGGATTTAAAGGAAATTTAAAGCTGGCCATAAATATGAAAGAGGGAACAATTTTTAGGGTGATATCTGAGCAGGAAAGCTTGGAGAAGAGCTGAGGTCCTGAAATCATGCAGCAAATATCTGGTATTCTCTTGTACCTACCAATCAAAATGTCCATTTCTTCTCTTGTCATTCCTTTGAAGGCATCATTAGTTGGTGCAAACAAAGTCCATTCTCCAGGCTGTGACAGAAGATCTTTTAAGTCTGCAGCTTCCAGTAGGCTAAGGAAGATACTGAGCAGGAAGGATATATAGATGGCTTTGGTTAGACGTGCATTTAAGATGATTATTCACCAAGCATAAAAAAGAAACAAAAGCAATGCATAGAGTAGAAAAGAACCATATACTGGGGAGAGAACCAAACAGTTCCTCATATATTGTTACACGTTTCAAATGCAATTTATCTGTTAGTAACGTTTCATAATATGGAAGGTTTTAAATATAACATATAACGTTGGCATTTCTTTACTTTTGTTTTTATCTTATAAAATTTTGCAAGGTCACAGTCTATAATGATATAGCAGCTTTGTTTTCATATTATATTCTATGAAGTAGTCTATCATTTCTAAAAATCTTAATTGCAAGAAAATTTGCAAGATGTATTTCATCCTGTTCAATTTTCATTTTGTCCATTAAATCATATATATGAGGGAGCATATATATGTTAGATTCAAAACATCAGTTTTGAGAACATTGGCGTGAACTTCATATTCTAATTTATATTCTGAGCAACACAAGAAGCTGAATGTCTTTTGGAGTATTAACTGTGAAACAAGAATATGTTGCTAAATCTCATTCTTTTGCAGACGTGCAACTAATAAGCTTACCTAAAGCGCTTGTCTTGCTTTAGTTTCTCATGGAAGGATTTGTCGGCTGGTGTGATGATCTCTCGGAATACATGAATAGCACCGTTTCTTCCTTGCTTGCTTCCTCTCACCATACATGAATTTTCAACGCAGACAGACTAGAAAAGCAAAGAAAGATATATGATATTCTTTTCTTTGCTTGAGAATCAGCACGTGGTATAATTACATATTTGCATTTCTATACAGTATTGGCCTGAGGCCACTTGTACTCTGAGGCCAGAATAATCTTACTACACATTTCCAGTCTAACCACAGTTTCTACTATTAGTCAAGGCACCTTATACATTAAGCAGGGAGTTTTGTCAGTAAATTACAAAAATTTTGTAGAATTCCACTTTTTGCATTTTCTTTCTTTTTTTTTTTTTTTTGGTTTTTCTCCGGTACCGGGAATCGAACTCATGACCTTGCGCTTGCCAGGCAGGCGCTGTGCCACTGAGCTAAATCCCCAGTCCCTGCATTTTCTATATTTCTTTTTCTTTTTAAATAACATATTTCTAGGTATTTTTTCTTTATTTTTAAAACATTAAAAATTTTATCTTTATTGCTACATGATTGCAGTACATAATACTTGTATTCATCATGGAGAACTGCTACATGGATATAGTACATTTTAATTCTTTCTGTCCCCTTTCTTCTCCTCCTTTCCTCTAGTTCTATTTCTGTAGGTATTTTTTTAGGCCAATATTAATCATAAAGTTTCTAGACTTCACTGTCTCTAGATTTACTATATTTTCTTGACTATAAGCTCCTACTAATTATAGCTCAAATTATTGATTTAATTATAGTTTTTGTTTGCCACATAAAAATGTGGCCACTTGTTTTTTTGTTTTTTTTTTGGTACCAGGAATTGAACTCAGGACCTTGCGTTTGCCAGGCAGGTGATTGTGCCACTGAGCTATATCTTCAGCCCCAATTATAGTTTTTGAACAATTGTTGCATATTATTGTGATAAATGTTATGGTGAATGCTTACATTAAGGAAAACATGATAAAAGTAGCCATTAATTCACCTCACAGTGCTTCCGCATAGTATAAACATTCATCCCATTGCACTATTCTTGCCACTTTCTGAAAGAGTTCTGAAATTCCCCTTTCATGAATGTTTTTAGTTGCACTGTCATGGTTGCTTCAATGCCCTGAGTAGGTTAAAAACGCCTATTTTTCCTGGTCATTTTTTCCTTTGGAGAAGATCGAGAAGTTGCACATTGCCAAATTGGGTATTTTTTTGAAGTCTGCTTTTGCAGTGGTGGCACTCAGTAGCAATATTCATATTTTTATTGCTGTTATCAAACCAGGTAAAGGTATAAATGAGGATTTCCAGTGCTACTTAAAAAAGTGGTGAGAACATTGGGACAAGTGTGTACAAAATGACAGGGAGCATTTGTAGGGGGATCATTAGCAGTGTACTTTTTATTGTAATAAATTAAAAAAAATATTTACCACATATTTTCATCACACCATATATATATGTATATATATAATTTAAAGTGAAACCAATTTATTGCATAATATAAAATGTGTTCCTTGAGGTTGTGGAGCTGTAGTGAGCCTGAATGCCATAGTCAACCCTAGGAAATGGCTGAATTCCTATGAAAACTTTTACTTGTAGATCAAATGCTTCCTGGAGAGAAACTGAACACTTCCAATAGTTGCTCTCCAATTTTGACAAGTACTATATATAAAAGCTTTCCTGCTGATAAAAGTACTCTGGAATTATTTGATAGCATCCAGAAATGTTCCTTTGTCTATCAAATCTTATTTTGAAAGTTATTTAAAAGGTGTTCCATTGTTGAATCAAGAAATACAATTGAACATCATGTTGTATTTTTTATTCCATGTAAAAACTATCATATAAGATTATGTATTTTATCAAGTAAAAGCTTATTCTAGAGGGGTTTTGTTGCCTCCTGAAATTTCAAGTAATCAGTGATTCAGAACATAAATGCTTTTACTTAATGAAAGTAATGCAAATTATCTTTTGGTATATTTTCCTCACAGTCTTTTTCCCTAATTTACCCAGTTTCTTTGTCTTCCAGTGAATACCTACTATTAAAGTTACATTTAGAAAATTCTGAGAAACATTAACTGCAGCAACATTCTTTGATATGTGCATGACCTTTAACATTTAGGTCAAAATGGACACTTGATTTTGTTTTGATTCACTTACTGTACGATACACGAAGACTCTGAGTTTTTGGCCTCCAATGGTCTCAAGTATCTGTCCATTATAAAGCTCGCTAAGACCAACTTTTACTTTCAATATGTGATTCTGCAACATTACTTTAAGAACGCGTTGATCCATGCTCAAAGTATCATCTATAAACAAATTAATTAAGAAAGAGCTTTATTTTATAAGGAAAATACTAAAGTTTGTCCTAGTAAGAGAAAAGCATGGAAATGGATGATCTCTAATTTCGTGGGTGTGGATCCTCTACTCATATAATGGATAAGTCAAATAATGCTCAAGCAGAGCAATCCAAGTCAGCAGTTCAAAACTCTATGATCTGTTGCATCAAATGATTATAACATGGTGATATGCAACTGAGACCATAGGCTCCATCTCTGTTAGGGCTACATTTTTATGGTGGTTATTGACAAAAGCTAAACCCTCACAAGGGCCAGGTTTTTCTTCCTCTGACAATTAGATATCCATTAGTCACATAGGTGATTTTTGATGAATCATCTAGAAGTTCATCTTTATTATTGTAAAGAGAATCAAAGCATACAATGTCTTAAAGATAGACTGAAGTCAAACCTGGGCATCACTGTTACAAAGAGAACAATCATTTCTAGGAATTTGATTTTTTTCAGACTAATTTTGTATATCATGATTTAATACTTGGAAAAAATGTAAAAATGCATTTTAATTACTAAATCTATCTAACAAAATATTTAAATATTTTTGTGAAATAATTTTTCTAGAAAATATCTGTTTCCATTAATCTAAACATTGTCAGTAAATAGCAAGTATTCAATTAAAAACATAGTATTTTCCATCCTGATTTGGAAGTGTGTAAAAGTCTCTTGTTTTTATTTATTTATAATTTCCAAATTCTTAGCTATAAAATACACTGATTTATTTCTAATATATTTGTGCCAAACAAATATGAAATTCATTTTATGTAAGATCTATTAATGCATCTTTATGAGGTCTGGAAATATTATTAGATTCACAGAATAACTGAATACTTCTTATAATAAATTTTTGCTGCCCATGTGCTATGACCTAGTATAATGAAATTTTTTGAAATAAAGGACATTTTTGTAGTTAACCTAATGCTAGCACGTTATGCTTGCGCAAACAATGTAGAAATAACCAACACCTTGGAAAAAACCCTGTAATTTCTTACTGCAAATAATAATAAAAGTTTTTGGAAAAAAAATGTCTGTTAAGGGGAGCGCAAGAACAACAGCATCAAGTACATACCAGAAAAGGCGTTGTTCACGGGGGCCAACAATGTGTATTCCCCATCTGGCTTCAGAGACGATGCCAGGCCTAACTGGGCCACAAGGTCTGTGAAAGTGGTTTGCTGTTTTCCAGCCAGCTCCATAACTTGTTTGGCTGTAAAATAAACCATAGCCATTCCATCCATGTCATCATTGTTATTATCATCATCAAGAGATTAGTAACTCAAGTCTTGGTTTTCATACTGTAAGATATTTACTGCACTGTCAACCTTGTAGACATCTTGTTCTTTCCTAGTAAGATAGTTTCAGATTCTGTTTCATTTGTTGATAAACACAAAGAATTTCAGAAGGAAAATTGATTTCTGTCTCCTGTTACAGTTTTCTCTGCTTTTCTGTCACTCACCTCTCATCTCTTTCTACCCTCGTGAGTGAGACAGCTTTTTGGTGTATCCAAAGCTAGTCATTTGGAAGTATATCTTCCCTTTCATTTTCAAGACAACACTCTTGTACTGTGGAATCTTTGTATGCCTTTACCTATTTGTAAATGTTAGATGTTATTAACCCTAAGAAGGTAAAGTTCCATGCCTGGAATGCCCAGGACTTCATAGGTAGACTACTGAGCGCTCAGCTAGCCCACTGCTGATTTTGTGTTAGCGGGTCACAAGCCATTCTTTATTCTGCACATTCATTTTTCATGGACTTACTCTTGAGACACCATAATTGGTAAGTAATAATAAAAAAGTTTGGAAACAATGCTCACCTGAATCAGGGATGAGAACCTCATCAATCAAATGGATCACACCATTATTGGTCACAATATCTTTTTTGTTCACCATTTTGACTCCATTTATCGTTATGCTGTCACCTTCACAACCTATCTCAATTGTGTTTCCTTCCATGGTCTCAAACACTGCTCCTCCCATAATGGCCTCAGAACATTGGAGAGTATTTAAAATATGATATTTCATGAGAGCTGGAAGACAAAATAAAACCAAAAACCTTTCAGATCATGGGGAATAAAAATTAACCTTTAAGAGATGTGGTTCAGAGTGTAATTAAATATGCTTAAGAAATACAGTAGGATAGAACAACCATTGGTGAGTTCCTACTATTTTGTCCAGTGAAACTCTGTGTTGTCTCTAATGTTTTTTAAAAAATATTTCTTTACTCTCTTTAATCGTTTAAATAATGTTCCATTATTACATCTGATAATCTGAGCAATGTAGTTGAAGATAACAATATGTAACATAATAACCACTGTTAATTCCTATCATTTTGTTTTGAAACCTTGTATCATTTTTAATGTGCTTGCTTTGTATTGTTTATGTCTGTGATGCTGGTGTGTTGCTATTGTTCTTTTTTATTTTTTACTACTCTCTGTAGAATACAAAAAAAGTAATATGGTAGGCATGCAAGCTTTAAAGATTGACTGAAGATTTTAAAATCTTAAGTGTCTATGATCCAAGAAAACTTTTTCCCACGAACTCTAAACAAGACCAGCTCAACTTGGTGGAATGTAAGAACAGCTTCAGAAATAATTATGTTCAGTGCTAAAAAATGTGCTAGATTTAGTTACAGCTATTATAAGGGAGTATTTCTTGATGTGAAAGTGAGAACAATCAGTCCTGTACTGTTGTCAGTGACACCTGTTCTAAAATATCCTGGTAGTATCTTATTCCTAACAGAATATCTGCTCTTAATTTGTTATGAGGTTGATAAAGGCTATAGGTAAAAAAAAAAAAAAAAAGGTTCCCTAAAGACAACATCAAGAAAATGACCAAAATAAAAATGTGTTCATGAAGTCCACCTGGAGGGATCTGTGCTTCAAGTGTATCTCAATTTATGTCTTCAAAATGTCATATCTTAAACTGGTTTAATGTATTTTGTAATAGGCTGAGAATATGAAATACGCTAGTGTAATGTAAAATCTATTTGACCTCAGAAAGGGAGAATGGGAAGAGACCAAATTCTTCTGTGTATCCATAAGCAGTAGTCTGTAAAAACCAGGTAACTTACTCAAATTCAATACATCTTTTATCATAAGTTTAAAATTAAAAGCATATGCATGCAATATTAAAATATGATACTATAATAGTCCTTTTCAACAGTTGTTAATGTTGCTTAATGTCTGCTACTTATTTACTTGAAAGTAACAGGAAAGGATGTGATCTTAAGGATATTTTGAGGATTAAGGTTCTTTCTTTTCTGTTTACTATTTCCAGGATTTTTAAAACATATTCTCATGGTGCATCTCTGAATAAGTTTTTTTCCAAAGAATTTTAAAAAGTATCTCCATGGTGCACCTCTGAATAAAATTTTTCTGTCTTTCTTTTTCAAAGCCAAGCAGTGATCATTGTTTTAAATTTCCTTTTCTTCCCATAGTTCTTGGGAGATTTCTGCAAGAAAACCTTCCTACCTTCAGAAGCTACTTTGTCCCCCATGATCCTTTCAAGGACACCTCGTGGGAGTTTCTCAAAAGCCTCATTGGTAGGGGCAAAGAGGGTGAAGTGACCATCTCTTCCAAGGGACTCCAGTAGGTCTGATGTGATGGCAGCTGCCTGAAACACAAATGCACTTTTCAGAGGACTGCACATTGCAAATCCAAAGAAAAATTACAGCACACTTACACTAGGCTGACATGAGGGAGCTGATTTCTTCATTATAGAAGCTTGTTCTTGTTCGACTTTTACAACATTAGTTTTTGGCAAAGCAAGTTATGCCTTTTCCAACTTCTCTCAAACTGTGTTTGCCAGTATGGGAATCCTGCCAACGTCTGCATGACTATGGCAATATCTAACAGTTTATACAGGAACTGAGATGGACTGTTTTAAATACACTAAATACACTCTATTCCCATAGCTCATCATTCTTTATTCATGATTACATAAATATTACTTCATATGAGATGATTTCTTCCATGTAAAGTGAAAAGGTTCCTTTCATGAAATATAATTAGTACACTTCTAATAGATTTGTTTAATAGCCTTTATTGTGCTTAGATTTTAAGGAACATGAAGGTGGAGTGAGTTCAATGATCCAAAAGAATCAGCTCTGGAACTTACTCTAAAAGATGAGAGCTCATCTTCTGCTTCAATGAAGTCTTGGATTGAGGTACCAATTTGTGTAAGGACACGGTCAATGACATGTACAACACCATTTGTTGCAATCTGGTTTCCATGGATGATTCGAGCACAGTTAACAGTGACGACCTATAATTATTTGGGAAAATCAAAGTACTGAAATCAGAGCTATCCACTGACCCCTGAGACCACAAGTCAGTTCCTAGTTTTTTATTTATGTTTGTAATTATAGGCTAAAGGATCCTATGCACTGAATGAAAATCATGTGAATGAAAATTTACATATTGCTGTATCTAAAAAACAAAATGAGAGAAAACAGAACCAGTTCACAACCCAAGTCGGTTACACAGTATATTAGGAAACATAAGGGAAAACTCTTTTTTCATTTGAAGTTTTCTTTTTGAATACACATAAGCTCTTTAGAAGGTAGGTCAGTGAATTACTGAAAGGAGTCTATTTAGTCATAAAATAAGTTCTGAGAGAGTGAAATAAATAATTTCTGCAAGATAAAATTCTCTTGCAACAGCTTCCTCAGTACTGCTTATCATCAGCTTTCTGACCCTGGGAATTTGACTGTTGAAAGAACCTTATAACCCTGTTGGCAGTTTCCCACAGTTCTTAAGAAAACACTGAAGAATGTCAATCAGCACAATAGCCAGAGAGTAGATGGAAACACATCATTCATTGTCTTAAACCCTTTTCTTTGCTTTTTAATACTTAAAACACATCTATTACTGACTTTTCCTTTTTTAGAATGTCTAAATCTACTGTAAGTGAACTGCCAATGTAGCTAATTTATACCTTTCCATCTTTGCTAGGGAACAGTAATTGAATTGAACATTTAAATGTCCTATTTTTTGGGAGAATCTATGATATAAACATTTACATTATTCTCACTAACATTTCATTCTTTTGTGAAAATTAAGTAAGTGATAAAGACAAATTTAAGGGAAGTACTCCTCAGCAATATATATATTGTAAACGAAACTTACCCCATTAGGATAGTGATTAATGAAAAGCCCCAAATTGTTGTACATGGAAGGAATAACCATGCCATTTTTTAAATCCTTTGTCAACATTCTCTTATTAACCATATGGCTATGTAAAGCATTCAGTAATTCAACATTTACGTTGCTCTCCAATCCTCTACGAACGTCCTAGGGAAAATTGAAATGATACAGGGTTATTTCATTTTGGTTCACTCTTGAAATTTTTATGATCATCCTATTTCTATTCTATTTATTACTTTCTTATTGCATTGTCAGTTGACCATACAAAATTGATACAAATAAATTATATTATTTCACTTTATGAAGAAGTTTGTAAGTTCAGTTACTGAGTTAAGGGTCGTGAATTTGACAGAGTGAAACTTTTTAGAGAAAAAACAAAATTTTAAAATGAATATGTTTGTTAAGAGATTATACTGATATAAAGTTAAAGACATTAGGGATGTGATATTTTTAGATACTTAAAATATTATAAGTGGGAAAAAGAGAAAAATAACATTGTATTTGTATACTGCTTGAGTTCAATAGAGATTTTATGTTTGTTCCATAAAATTCAAGAGTTTAACAATTCTGCACCTTTTATTCTATCCAATACAATATATTATATCACGCTGTACTCAAGGCTAGGAGAGATTAGTTAATTAAGACAAAGTATCAGCCTTTATAATGTTCTTCATACAGGAGAGGTAAAACAAAATAGTATGATTTAGCACAGAAAAAGAGAATGGTCCCAGGGGTCAAATGAAGAATATTAGCTGTTCTTAAAGTGGCTTAGAGATATACCTTGAAGAACAGATGAGTTTTAAATGGAAAAGAATAATGTGGTGGTCAGTCTGTGGTGGTTAGTTTTATGTTTATCAGGGAGTACTAAAACTATCTAGGAAGGTATATGGTACAACAGTGTAGGAGGCTTTAATTCCTAAAATTAAACTGGGAATGAGGAACTACTGAAGATTTTGTGACATTGGAATTATAATCTTCAGAACTGGGCTTGGGGCAGATGAACTGGTTGATAAAACCCACCAGAAAGGGGGGCATTAGGATGATTAGATTAAACAGCAGATGTAGTTGCTTAACAGTAGTTTGTAAAGTTGGAGAGAGGAGAGATAAGGGTCGCTCACAATTTTCAGTATGAACATTGAAAATAGTTCTGCCAATTAGGGGTAAAAAACCACCAAACGGTTATTATTTGGATAAAAAGGAAAGGCATGTGCTTTGGATGTGTTTATTTAAAGATGTACATGGTATATCTAAGAAGAAATACTAAGATGGACATCAGGAATCACTGGGGTGCCAAGGAGAAACAAGTACAGGAAATACAGACATCACAACTGTAAGTATTATAGTGAAAATTGAAGTCATCAGAAGTGAAAATATAGAGCAGGTTTGAGTTCACGGAACAGATTTTTATCATGCCTATTCTTAAGGGAAGGAAAAATAGTAGTCAAAAGAACTGTAGAACAGGTCAGATGTTGGGAAGAACAACCATAAGAGGAATTCTCTAACTCAAAGTATCACATAGCCAGTGTAAGAGGACAATGACTGCAGGACCATGCTTATATTTTCACAAGTAGGTTTGACTGTAGTGGAAAGTCTAAATTCATCTTTGAATCAAGTAAAATTCAGAAGGGTAGTCATAAATCAGTCTGAAAATAGATTTAGAAGTGAAGTCATATTTTAGGGTGCTATACATTAAACTGTGCATAAGGGGCTGGGGATTTAGCTCAGCGGCAAAGCGCCTGCCTGGCAAGCGCAAGGTCGTGAGTTCGGTTCCCGGTACCGGAGAAAAACCAAAAAAAAAAAAATAAACTGTGCATAAAAAGCCTGAAAATCAAATGTATTGTTTACAGCACTTCATTAAATTACCTACACACATATGTATAAATTTGATAGTTTTTGAACAGTCATAGATATTTGCATGTAATTAAACATACATGATAAAATATAGCTACCTAACATAACAAATGATAGATCTGAAATTTCAGCAGGCTTCTTTATTTACTTTTCTATTAGATATATCACCCAAAATTATACATATTTTCTCACAATTAATAATATAAGTGGAAAGGAGTAGGCTAGAATGAGTAGTGCTCTTTCAGTCCATGCTTGCTTTTTAAAGCTTAATGTATAAGTCTTTGGGGGAATTATTCATTTATGGGTGTATGAAAATAACTTCCGGCAATCACGCATCCTTTATATAATCTCATATGTACAACAGAAAGACGTAAAATTCTTCTCAAAGTTCAAGTTAGTCAAATAAAAGGAAGAGACAACAGCTAATAATAAATATAACCATAGAAATAATGAATTACAGAATCCAGGTTTTCCCAGGCCTCGTTACTCGGTGCAAAGTAAGTATACGATCCTTTTCCTTCGATCTCCGCCCGCAGTTTTGAGACGTCAGAGTAGTGCTGCGTTGTAGTGGCCCCCACAATACCCAGGGTCCCGTAAACGTGGTCAATGGGCATAACTGGAAAACACAGAGAAAGTAACACTGACTGCTTCCAGAATATCATTTCACAATCATTTAGCTTCACACGAAGTTTACCAGTACATTTAACTATGTTAGCAATAACATTATATGAATCATTAATTTCATATGAAATTTGCCTTTACAGTGCTAAATAATATAATACTACACAAAACTATTATTGCACATATTCTTTGTGTTTAGGGAGAAGCTTTAAGCTGTTATTTTGGATTAACATTTAGTCTGTTTCTGTCTGAAGCTTGATACATCAATACTAGTTCAAATGTAATTATCAGACACTAGCTCTGATTATTTCATGTTTTAAATAAAAGATTTATTTCTCACTGACAATGGCATAGCAATCATCTCTATCATGTTGATTTGACATTGCTGAATAACATGATAAAGTTTTTGAATCTATAACTTTTAAAGATTTTGGTCCCTATGGAAAGTGTTCAGAAAACATAAATATATAGATTTCCTTGTTTCCTTATCAATTCAGTAAGAAAACAGATCAAAATATCTAATATTTTCATAGCACTTCTCCTGAACGTCAGAAGAAGGATACATGTAGAATGTCAGCCTGAAGGATAAATCTAGTATTGTGAAGTCAACCTACTCTTCTGAACAGATTTGATTTGAAAACTGGTATAATTTGGATATTGTCAGAAGAGAAATAGCTATTACATTTGTGAAGGAACCTAAGATGAAATGACAATTAATAGATTAAACCATAAAATAGAAAAGACCTTAAAAAGAAGAGGAAATGGAGTCAAATGAACAAGTTTAAATTTAATAGGGTTCAGTGTAAGTTCTTTGTCTAGATGCAAAAGAAAAATCCTAGGGAGATAGACTTGACTTCATAGTTTTCATTTAAAAACAAATGTGCAATTAATATTTTGTAATCAATCAATTATTGAATACAGATGTAATATGGGTGAATCATACAACATGGTTACAGATGATGTTAACCTAAGTGTGGGATCTCCCACAATGAGGTATTTGTGTTTTGATGTTCTCTCAGCTAAGGAAGCCTACATGGATTGGAAACACCAGTATGAGATCATAAACTAAATGCTTTTCATGAGTTAAGGTCCAGGAAGGTGAGGGTGCCAGAGACCATGAAAGAAATGAGGGATGAGTAACCCAGAGAAGAGAAGATGCTGTTGAGGAAGGAAGCAGAGATGGAGAACAGAGTGATGATTAGATTAAATATGTTCATGTTGAGAGCCAGGCGTGGTGGCGCACACCTATAATTTCAGCACTCCGGAGGCTGAGGCAGGAGGATCATTGTGAGTTTGAGACCAGCCTGGGCTATGAAGTGAGCTCACGGACAGCCTGAACTGCATAGCGAGACCCTGCCTCAAAAATAAATAAATAAATAGATAGATAGATAAATAAATAAGTAAATCTGCTTGTCTGTCTTTTCAAAGGAGATACTCTTTTTCTCTAGTTGGTGGAATTATGGGAAACTACATTTCAGTATAAAGAATGTTATACAATAAGATTTTTCTTTTTTTTTTTTGTACTGGGAATCGAACTCAGGACCTTGCGCTTGCCAAACAGGAGCTTATGCCTCTGAGCTGTATCCCCAGCCCTAAAATCAGATTTTTCAACTAGAGAAGTTGTGTGCTGCTAAGATGTCAGTGTCACGGACTGAAACAACTTCGAATGAAGGGATTTTGTAAATTGGACTTAGATGCTGGGGAGGGGAAGTTGAACTAATTTAAATTTATGAGCACACTTTATTATATTACCCAGCATCTAAGTGTATAAGATATGTATTCCAAAAATATCACTGTTATAAATTTATAATTAATACAAAGATACACGAAATATTCACTGGGTTTAGGACGGCGTGAAATACACACATACTTCTCTGTACATGCACACACAAACACAAACACACTCTCACATACTTGGCTTTTCTGTGAGCTTTTCAATTGCTTGTCCTCACAAAAGTTAATTTCTTCAGTTATTTAGGAAAATTTAGATTTTACCTGCTGGACAGCCTTTCATTCCTTCCATTCGCATATATCCTGGACAACATTCGTATAACACAGTCCTACAAGTTAGAAGACATTTAACATTAAAATGGAGAAATATATAGAGTACATTTTATATAAACATGGAAAAATATACCACTTATTGCCATGATTCATGGAACATCTAGAAACCAACACCCTGCCCCTACCTGGGACACATACATTTATATTTATTTTCTCTCTGCAGCCTCATGGTAATGTGGAAACATTCCAGGATTTTGATCCAGAAGAATGGAATTTGTGCCTCAGTTTTACTGCTTGGTAGACATAAGACCTCATGAAATGTAACAGACTATACATTCCTTGACTATTTACTATACAAGTAGAAAAATAATACTGCTCATAAATTACTTGTGATTCTCAAACCAAAGATTGTTTTTGGAATAATTTTCTAAACTTCAATTATATAGAAATGTCTATTAATGTACAGGTCTTAGAACTTTTCATGACCTATAAAATGTCATCTCATTTCTAACTAAGAAAATGCTATTGTGGAAGTCTCATTAGAGTTATTCATTTGATCATGTTAGATATAAGCCTTAAAATCTCCTGTATGTATTTTTATATTTGTAAAATTTGAAAAATAATTTACCTATATTTGCTTCAAATTGTAAAATACAGTATTCAAGAAAATATTACCCTATTCAAAGCTTACAAAATGCTTTTTCTATAGTAATAAATAATTAAAGCAACAGACCAGAAAATTCAAGCAAAGATATAGTACACCCAAAGTAACTTTATTTAAATTGCTATATTTGAGAGAAAATAGTAAGCTAAAGCTATCTAATTATTTTCATGTTTTGCTGGGCGTGGTGGCACATGCCTGTAATTCCAGCACTCAGGAGGCTGAGGCACGAGGATCATTGTGAGTTTGAGGCCAGCTTGGGCTACAAAGTGAGTTCAAGGCCAGCCTGAACTGCACAGTGAGACCCTGTCTCAAAAAAACAAAAGAAAAGTTATTTTCATTTTTCATGTTATTAATAATATAATCCTGCTTTTCATTTTACCAATCTCCTTAAGATGTTTTCTATACCTCTTCAGATTTTAGCATAAGGATTATTTTTAATTAAAATTTTATATGCTACTTATCTTTTTTCAATATCAATACAAAGAGGGATGTATCAAACAATTGGAAATTATTATAGAGGGACAGAACATTTTAAATTTTTAATTGATAAGTTAACATATAGATGACAGTAATTACTTATAGACTGATTATTAGGCAACTAAATTATTAAGCATAAAGTAGCTAATTTGGACAATTTTCTTTATATTTAGTTGTGGTAATTGTATTCAAGGAATATAAATGAATGAAAAAATTTAGACACATTTAAGAGACAGTCTACCAAATGTAAGAATAAAAAATGTCCTTAGTATGTTTAATATTAATACAGTAAAAACTTCAAGAAGTAAACTATTAGGAATATGAGAGGTGATCTTCTACAGCTAAAAAAAGTATTTTCAAACTGAAGGCAGGTGCACTAATTAATTGTCCATGATATATGATCTATTTATGTTCTTGGGATTCCTACTTTTCTAATTTGTTAGTGAAAATTTTGTAACATGGAATACTGGCTTAGGATATACATAGAAAAAAATAATATAAATAGATAAGAAGATACAGACAAGCCCTGCACGGTGGCACATGCCTGTAATCCTAGCAATCAGGAGGCTGAGGCAGGAGGGTCCTTGCAAGTTCAAGACTAGCCTGGGCTACAAAATGAGCTCAAGGCCAGCCTATACTGCATAACAAGACCGTGTCTGAGAAAGACAAAAATAAAAAGAAGGTATAAACAAAATAGTGTGAACAGTGCCAATATCAAGTACTATCTAAAATTTCAAGAATAAGTGATATAGGAATCATATACAAATTGCATGGGAAGCTTATGGAAATTTTAATATGGCTCCTGAAATTTCTATAACACATGCTATTTAACCTAGTGATCAGTTCTAATTTAGGGAATTAATGCACCAAATGTGATAAAAATTCAAAAACATGATTGCAATTTCAGCTGATAATTAGCAGTATGGTTATCTTAGTAGATATTTTTTTTTTCAAAATTACATTTATGTCCTATAAAACTTGGTGTTCCTGCATGATGAACTAAGACAAAGCAAGAGGAAAGAAAATTTATTACTAGGCACAGCTCAGAACATTGGGAATTTACCTTGATTTTCTGAATAGTAACTAACATTTCATGGACTACCAACTTAAAAGGTCACTGACATTCTCTAAAGCAAGTTAAATGAAGACTTTATAACTGGGCCTATATATATACATATATGTATATGTATATTGCACAATATTGTAAACCTGGGGAAGTTCATGTTTTTCATCAGGCTTGAAGAGTTTCTTTTCTCCCAATTCCCAAAGCAGTCACTGAACAAGGAGGTAAACATTTCTGTTAACAGATATATGAAGTCCTACATAGGTCTCTGGAAATTGTCATGGAAGCCAGCAGATAGAAAACCAGCCCTTGTTCTTGTCAATATTATTTATTTCTTTAGATATTTGGAGCTAGCATTCCCCTCTATTTCAGTGCAGATGTAAAAGGGTTTGTGCAAATGAAGCTAGTGGGGGAAAATTAGGTAATGTAGTTGAACATAGAAGACATTGTTACATTTCTGTTAAAAGCCAGAAATCAAAGCAAGATTTTTCTTTTAATGGAAAGCAAGAAGGAATCTTGGCTTATGCTCTGCATAAAATTTGCCACCTCTAATGTATTCACATGAGTGAAGTAGGATTGTAGCACACTTTTTTAGTTTCCAGGAAAGATATAATAAAGATTTCTCCTAAATATTTAGAAAGCAAATTCTTTTTTCTCTAGTTAGTGAGCATTCTCGATATGCTTCCACATATTCCAGAAATGAACGTAGAAGAGCATTCCAAACCTTAGTCTTCCCAATTGGGATTTGTCTTATATCTTGGGAAAGATCACTGTAAAAGCTGAGTTACATTATAATTTTATGAATGACTCACAAGTCTAGCAGATGTCTGCTTACTAATGGGAATAATGTCTAGGTCAAAATATAATGTCAACTTGAAACTCTATTAAGTCAATAAATAGGAAACCAGAAGAAAAATCCCATGGTGTCCTAGAATTGGTAACCAGGGGGAGATACAATGCAGCTAAGGTTACATAAACTGTGCTTGGCAATAAATATAATCATTTCATTTCAAGTAGATTTCTGGTCATAACTCCTTTTCTCACCTACCCATATATATTTGTCAAAAATACTGTACAGCTAAAGAAAAAATAATATTATAAAATATTATAACTAATTCCTCATCCATCACTTTATCATCTCAGAAAGCCTGTAATATATGTATGAAACCTATGTTTCACAGGGAAAGCCTCCAAGAGGTTAAATGATTCTTTATTTAGTATTTACACCAATAATGTTAGATTAGATATCTATTAAAACCAACTCTTCCACTCAATTAAGGGTAAATAAAGTTCAGCACCATGTGCTAAGCAGGGCCTCCAGATCTGTTTCTTAAAATATCCTGCATTGAAGCTGAAGGGTAAATTAATAGGAAGAAGGAAAGTGCATTTTCCACTGTTTCACTGACTATCTGAATTAGCAATTTATCCTACATTTGATTCAGCTTCTTCATTTAGATGACACAAAGAATTCTTAACCTTTGTATGTCCAAGATTTTATTTTTTCATAATCATATCTATGGTAGAATAAAGCAAGAAGCATGTCTCCTAATAAATCATGACTTCCAATTTTATATTAATCAGTGAAATATGTAACTAAGAGAGTTAACATCCTTTTTGCTATTGAGAAACTAAATATATCAATGGGCTTCCATTATCACTTTTGTAGACCCTTGGGGATCCAGTAGCTCAATTTATGAAACAATGGATTAAATGAAGAGATGGTTTTCTGAAGTTCTTTCAACTTTAAGCTTTGATGAAAACTCCTGGCAAAATGTAGTACTTTAGATAATTTTGAAACACCTGGAAGTGAATTTTTGTTTGCTGGCCTTTTTTCTTCAGTCTATATTTTTAATAATATGAGGAAAATGAGACACAGAGGCTAACTTTCTTGCCTAAGATGAAAGAGAATCAAGAACCAAAGAAGATTAAAAAGTAGAGGTAACAATTAATCACATGCTGATTGCTATGTGATCTGCAGCTTTCTACCTCTCCATTAAGTGGACTTGGAGAAATCTGTGTTGTAATGGCAATGGTGGAGACCTAAAGGATGTTTCTTTATTCACATTTTTGATATTTTGTTTAAAAACTCACAATTTGGGACAACATTATCAAGGATGGTGTATATATCCAAGAAAAGGCATACATGTGCACATCCTGCTATCTTTGGAACTTGAAAATGAAGGACTAGATGAGACTCACGTTTTCTTTCCACAGATGGCACCCTGATACCAGTTCTTGCAAGAGCTGAAGTATTTCTTTTTGGTACCCAAAATTTGTTGAAGGGCGCAGACATTTGGGCTATAGGTAGAAGGAAGAAAGAGAAATTAATGTCCTACCAGGGATAATTTTTTTATAGTTACAGGTCAGATGGTTTAAACAAAAAGACATGGATTTTATATTCAAAGATGTGATTTTAGCTTCACACATATCCACTTCCAGATCCAACTGTATTGAATCATTGGAGCTACTGTCTATGGATGTGGGGAGAGAGAGAGAGAGAGAGAGAGAGAGAGAGAGAGAGAGAGAGAGAGAGAGAGAG